GTGGGACAGAGGTGAAAGATCACGGTCTGAAGCCACTGTCAGAGCTTTAGAGGAGTGGACAGGATATGAGGCTGGCCCTGACAAGATAGCACCAAGCTCTGGTAGGTGAACATGGGGCCTTACGTCACCAGCTGGGCACTGTCGTGGGGCAGTCGAGGCAGCAGGTCTGTCCGGCGCCACTGGAGGAAGCTGTCTAACAGGACAGCTGGGTTGGAGCTCATCTCTATGAGGTCATGCTGGGTCCATGCCTCTAGGCCCACAAGTGCTACCCGAACATTCAAAGGCTGGAAGAACTGAAAGGCTGAGGTTCAAAAAAGGGGCTGGGGCAGCAGGAAGGGAGCTGTGGGCCTCCCACCCACCCAGAACTCACTGTGTCTAGCAGAAGGGCCACTTCTAGTGTCCTGTTTAGCAGCTGTTGGAAGTCAGGGTACTTCCTGACCTGGGGGCCCAGCGGGGTTACCTTGAGATGTGGTAGAAGGTGGGGTGGGGCAGGGGGCAGGAGGGGGCATGGTACCGGCACACTCACCTCTGAATTGTCAGCCACAATCACCAGCTCAATAATTTTGGTTTCTGTTACCACATCCCGCTTAAGCTGTGGATAAGAAGTGGGGAGCGTCAGGCAAATACTCCTTGGGGCCATGGCCTTGGGCTGGGCAAGCTGTGCCACACCCACTCTGAATAGTCAAAGGATGAAGACCTCCCAGAAGGCATGAGAGGCCAGCAACCTGCCCACTGTGGACCAGGAATAGATTATGAACCTGGTAATAGGGACTCCACTTTTCCCACTCCAAACTCTGCTTCTAATTAAAAACAAGGTCAACCTTTCATTTTTGAGACAGTCTCTTGCTGTACAGCTCAGGCTGGCAGTAATGTGATAGCCTCATGCCTCTGCTTCCCAGATGACTGCTGGATACAGTTGTGTACCATCAAACCTGGCTTCTTTCAGTTTTTAAAAATAACTAAAACCAGGCATAGTGGTGTGCACCTTTGATCCTAGCACAGGCAGAGGCAAGTGGATCTCTGTGAGTTCAAGGCCATTCTGGTCTATAAATCCAGTTCCCAGCTACACAGTGAGACCTTGTCTCAAAAACAACAAAACAAACCCCAAAGCAACTAAATAATAGCTGACATTATCAAACACACTATTCCAGGCACTTCACCTTGGTTTTCACTCTAAAATATAGTCTGCATCTTTGTAAATTAGGAAGTTGTATTTGTATTGCTTTCTAGTTGCAAGCTTCTACTCAAGTGAATACTCTCTGCAATGGGCCTAGGAGATAGGTGAGGCATTTGAGGTGACTCGGGCAAGTCACCTAACCACTCTGTTTCTTCATTTGGAAGTAGAGCACTAGGCAGCACCTGCCTTCTCGGGTTGCTAGGAAGAGCAAGTGAGGCGGTGTTCACTCCGTGCCTGATGCATGGGGACAGCTCCATCAGCAGGAGCTACTGTCCATGTGAACTGGGCGCTGAGTCAGGCTGGTGCTGCTTCCATGCCTCCTCACCCTGTGAATACGGTGCTGTCCCCGAAGGAGGTCTCGTTCAGCCTGAGTGGGCACAGATGCATGCCAGCTTGGGACACAGGTGTGGCCTGGCAAGAGGAGGTCTTGGATCCAAGGAACAATGAGAGGACCCTGAGGGTCTCCAGGTCCCAGCTCCAGTGAATAGCTTCTCTCTGGGGACAGGACCACCAGACCCCTAAGGAAAAAGACAGAGTCAGAGAGTTTTCTGCCTGTGTACCCTCTCCCCTGATAGAGAACCCACCCACAGTACCTGACGCTGGAGCAGGCACAGAAGGAGACCCAAGAGCCGGGGCGGCCCTGCACTCCTCCGTGGTAGCAGCAGTTTTCCTACACAGGAAAGCTGCATTGGTTAGCACCAGCTCACAGGGAAGAGCAGAGAACCCTAGACTCCAACTTGCGAAAAGCCCACAGACAGGATTCTCTACTCCCTCCCAGGCTGCCACCCTCCCATCATCCTTTCCTTCTCTGCCCAGGCCAGAAACAGCACAAGAGAGTCTGACTCACCAGCCTGTGTCCCTCACTGACCACCCGAGTGCCATCAGGCTGGTACCACACCAGAGTTGGGCGGCCAGGGACTAGATCTCTGTGGGAAAAGGAGGACAGTATCTGAGCCAGCTCCCAGGGTGCTGCAGTGACAAGCTAGAGCCAGAGATGGACAAGGGTATGTTAGGACCAGACACCAAGCCACTCAGTTCCTCTGAGACCACAGAGTCTGAAGGCTGAGCTGTTGTCATCTCCTGCTTCTCTGGGTTTGACATATATGATTGTATGAACTCAGGCGAGTTATTTAACTTCTCTCAGTTTTAACTTCTTCGTATATTAAATAAGGTAACTACCTGATAGTATCTACCTTTTAGGATTGTTGTGACGGAGTCCATGAGGGTCAGTATTTAGTACTTGGTGTGTAATAAATGTTTTATAAATCATCTCCCAGTAGTTACCCATGCCCGCCACCTTACCTACTCCGCAGAAGCTCCAGGATATGACTCTCACCGTCCAGCTCCAGTTTGACCCTCAGGGCTTCAGATAGACCAGTCTGTGGATGCCAGAGACATGTCACCTCCCCTCGCCTGCCCACAGCCCTTTATAACCCGAAGACCTCATGCTCTCGGGAGAGTACCAGTGATGAGGTCACTGGTTGGGGGATCCCAAGGGAGGGACCAGGAAGCCCTGCCTGGACTGGGGCATTGTTCTAGGGGCTTGTGTGGGGAGGTCAAGGAAGGCATCTGAGCCACCCTTTCTCGGCTTCCTGCCCAGAGAGGAAGCATCATGAAGGACCCAGCACAGGCCCAGCCCTTCCTCTGACTCAGCTTCAGAATGTGTGTCTGTCTGTCTGTCTGTCTGTCCCTGTCCCTTTCCAAATCTCTCCCCACTGAGAAAATGAACAGCATGAGATGGAAGAAGTAGGTTTAGTGTGAGAGCTCTCCCAGTGTACATGGACGACTGGCTGGGGCTAGGGCAGACAGATGTAGAGGAGAAAGGGGCTGAGTGTAACCAGGTGCTGAGGGGAAGCAGCTGGACCTGTTCACTAGCTGCATAGCCAAACTTTGACCTCAGGATGATTAATAATGTGGAGTGAGAGAAAATATTATTAGCAGGGGGGTTCTCACCTGGAGGACTTCTGCTAGGCTAATTGCTGGGTTGTCTTGAAAGACCTGCCTCTCCAAGGCAGCCCTCTCTGGTGTGGCTTGCTGCTCCTCAGCGCCTCCTGCAGGGTCCCAGAACATCCTAAGAGATTGCTGAGGGAATTCTTGGCAAGGTTAAGAGATTACTGGGGGAATCCTTGGCAAGGCTGGGGTTTCTGGTGTCCTCAGACCCACCAACGCAGCACATAAGGCATATTAGTAGCTTAGGGGCTCCTGCACTGCATGCTGGGATTTAAAGGAGGATATGGAGGATATGGAGTGAGGGGAGCTTCTTTTCCAACTTCTCGATTTCTCCCACAAGTCCCCAAAGAAAGTTCACTTTATCCAGCTTGCAGCCCCTCCTTGTCTCCCTCTGGCCAATCCCAAGGTTCTCACAGGGACCCTCCCCTGTTCCCATTCCTTCCCAGTCACATCCCCCACCCAATCAGGAATGCCCTTTCTTAGGACTGGGAGAAACCTTGTGGCCTGGTGCCCACTTGCCCTTCCTTTTCCCTCATAGAGGAGATGTTGGGAACGCCCATCTCAGGGTAAGCAGTGCAAACACCCCTACCTCCCTAAGCAGCCTTGATGCCCAGTCAGGCGCACCCGTTCCCAACAGCCACCGCTTCCTCCGCCAGCACCCCCAACAATGGCACTCTCCCCTCCGGACACTCCACCCCCGCCTACCCTCTCCGCCCCCAGCCCAAGACAGCAGTGGGAAGTGAAAGTTCCAAGGAGGAGTTGGTGTCCCAGCCTCTTTCCTGGCGAGTGCTCCCTCCCCTGGCTCCTCCAGGCCACTCCCGCTCCCCCGCTCTGCCAGGCTTCTGGTGGCAACCGCACCCGGGTGAGCGGTGCTGGCAACCCAAATCTGGAATGAACAGCTGGAAAGAATGCTTTTCACTAAGATCCCACGAGCCGGGCCCATTCTACCACTACACAGAGTGGAACTGTCAGCTAGGCCCTAGAGAGACATCGGCCCTGAGGAATGACTCTTTCCTCGGTTTGAGTGGGCGCTGGGCAGGCTCTGTGCCGGAACCTGAAAGTGTCTGCAGGGATAACTCTAGACTTACAGACAGGACGCGCCAGCATCCCAGCATCATTCTCCTCCCTCCTCCCTCCTCCTCCTCCTCCTCCTCCTCCTCCCCCCCCTCCCCCCCCCTCCTCCCCCCCCCCCTCCTCCCCCCCCCCCCCCTCCTCCTCCTCCTCCTCCTCCTCTTCCTCCTCCCTCTTCTTCCTCCTCCTCCTTCTCCTTCTTCTCCTTTCCCTGGCCAAATTTCCCGGCCCTAGGCCTTGGTCAGCACACCCAGCAGGCTGGGCCCTGCTTCGGCTCCCGCAGACCCCAGCACCCCAATACCTCCAGGTTTCCTTGTACCTCTTCCTGGTCAGCCTCTAGACCCACTCCCGGGTGGGAACTCACCTATATTCGGGAGCGGCGGGGAGGGCCGAGGGCTGCCCGCGCCCAGGAGTCCCAGGGCCCAGAGCAGCGCCAGCCGCATGGCCGCGGAGCTCCAGGCCGGGTGAGGGCAGCAGGTGCTGGGCCACGCGTGGAGAAGCAGCCGTGGCCGCGTCCGACACCAGCTCCGCACAGCGCAGCCTCTAGCCCCCGCCCCTGCCGAGGCCCCGCCCCTGCCGCCCAACACAGCCTTTTTCCGGCAGCTGCAGGGATCCGCGTGGACAGGACTGGATTCGAGCCTTCCTTCCTTCTTCGCTGTCCTCCGGCCTCTGGTCTTGGCCCGGCTTCACGCGGGGTGTGCGGGCCGGCACCTCCGGCTTACCCAGTCCCAGATCCCCGCCAAGCGCCAGCCGCAGGAGCGTGCATCACACTTTATTGAACAAGAAGGCAGACAGCATCCCGTCATTCGCCGTAGACGGTGTCGTCGTTGCTGTCGCTGTAGGCAGAGGAAGAAAGCTCCTCGCGGGGCGTGCACACCGGGCACCGCCGTCGCATGTCTTCCCAGCACGACCGGCAGTACACTGTCTGGCAGTCCAGCGTGGGGCACACGTAGGACTCGGGAGTCTCTGGTGCCTGGCACACTACGCAGCGCCGACGCGTCAAGCGACGCAGGAGAGGGCATCGGCGGTACAGAGTGTCAACCAGGTGGTGGCGCTGTTGGGAGGCGAGGTGGGTCGTTAAGGCCCTGTGGGCTGAGCAGAAAGGGTTGTCAAGGGCACTGGGCAGCTCTTAATGTATGAAGTCCCAAGCCTTGACAGTGCCAAAATGGAGGAAGCTGGGATGGACGAGAAGAGCCCTGAAGGACGAGGGTGCTATGGAAATGAGTCTAAAGAGCTTCCTTTTCCTCCATGATGAAATTCGGAGCCTGCCTACCCAAACTCTCTCCCCGAGGATGACCTGCAACCATTCTCATGTACCCCTCTAGAGCAGCTTAGAAGGAAGTAGGGCAGACAGATTATGGTTATTTAGACCTCGGAGAGGTGGCTCAGTGGTTAAGAACCCGGACTGCTCTTCCAGAGGACCCAGGTTTGAATCCCAGCACCCACGTAATGCTAACAACTGATTATCTTCTGACCTCGGTGGGCACCAGCCAGTTACGAGGTGCACGGACATATGTGTGGGAAAATATTTATTCATTAAGTAGATGAATAAATAAATTAAGTTTAAAACAAAGATATCTCAAGAAAGATGGTGGAACTTTTCTAAGTGAGCTCAGTCAAACATGGCAGGAACCAAATCACAAACCTTGCTATCATTCTGCTCAGTATTGCATTTTCCAAATACTCTCTTCATACAACTGCCAGGGATTCTTTACTGGCTACTGCTTAAGAAATACCAGCCAGGTACTGTGGCGCAAGCCTATAATCCCAGCACTCTGTGAGCTCGAGGCCAGCCTGCTTTACAAAGTAAGTCCAGGACAGCCAAGGCTGCACAGAAAAGCTCTGCCTTGAGAAAAAGAGAGAGAGAGAGCGAGAAAGAAAGAGAGAGAAAGAAAGAAATTCCAGGGACGCCACTGCCTGCCAGATAAGAGCAGGTCTGGGCTTGGCCTTCAGAACGTTTTAGGGGTCTGTTTCTTTCTGGCTTTGCTCTGCCCCCTGGTTTCTGGCACTCGTATGTTGCTTTCCTTAGCTGAGCCTTTGCCCTTGGCATTCCCTTTGATCTCTGAGGTTTTTTTTTCACATCCTGTTAAGTTCAATTTCAGTTTACTTCAGGACCGGGCCAAGGAATCCCAGCCTGTTGGTGTCATATCCATGTGGCCATGGGACACGTGTGACAGTCAGGGGACAGCTTGCAGGAGTCCTTTCCTTCTACTTGTGGATGGGATGGGATTCGGGTCCCTGGCTGGGTGGTCATCTTACGACCCAGTAAAGGAAATAACTCAAGTTAAAAAACTATGGACTGACTGGGCTATAACTCAGCAATAGTGCTCATGCCTTCTGTTCCATCCCCAACAGCCCTCTGTATGCACTCCTACAGGTGTGTATGTGCGTGGATGTGCATGAGTGTGTGTGTGTGAGTATGTGTGTGTGAGAGAGAGTATGTGTGTGTGTGTGTATGTGTGAGAGTATGTGTGTGTGTGTGTGTGTGAGTATGTGTGTGTGTGTGTATGTGTATGAGTGTGTGTATGTATGCATGAGAGTATGTGTGTGATAATTATTATTATCGTCTCCTTCAGGTGAGAGAACTGATGGAGAGAAAGTTGTTTGTTCAGGGCACACAGTGGCAACTAGCACACATGTAAAATGTTATTCTCATACCACCATCAAGGAAGGAAAACTCAGTCACTGCACCAACTGAACAAATGAGATAGTTAACACCATCTACAGAAAAGCAGAAGGCCAGGGCTTGAGCAGGGGCACACAGTGTCACATAATGGCAGGGGAGAGCTGGATTCGGACAAAGGCTTCGTTGGCACCCAGCTACCAGTCTCACAACCCTAAAGAATGGCCTCAGAGTCTACACTCTCCATTCCTCCAAGGAAAAAAACAGACACAGTGAAGACCACAGGCTCCTACAGCTTCAGGAAGTGTGGACTCAAACCTGATTCTGACTCTGTGACTTCCAAAGGCACTTGTTCCCTCCTGAAGCCCTCCTGATCCCCCACCCACCTCCTTTCCTTTTTCCAGACTGCTGTTGGCTTGTCTGAGGCCTCTTTCTGATCAGCGTCACTTGCTTTCCTACAGACTATTAGATCTGACTTCCCCTTTCTGCCACTTCCGGAAGGCCCACTGCATGTCTCAGTCCTGACCTCCAGAAGCTGACTCTGCCAGAGCCGCTCAGCTCCAAAAGGCCTGGGATGCTGAGGGTGCTGGCTGTGCTGAAAAGGATGCCACTTCTCTGAGAGTCTTCAGACTCAGTGGAAGGCCGGCAGGATTGCCAGGGACTGTACTCACCGAAACCCTCTGCTGACGTGCCCGACGGACAATGGTGGCCCTCCTTAATTTAGTGAAAGCTGCTCTCTTTCTCAGTAACTCATTGTAGAGGAACAGAACCCGCTTCTTCTCTCGCTGAGGGGTTGGTTGGGAAGCAAGAGGAACACAGTGATAGTGGTGGAGCAGGAGAGGGACCAGGGCTGGTAGGGAGCTGTGTGTGTGCATGTTTAGGAGTGGAGTTGTCAAAGAGCTCACCTTGGGGAAATAGAAGGCAGCAATGGCTCTCCGGAGCCTGTAACCGAAAGCCTGAGCTAGGCAGAGACACACAAGCAGGGTGGTTGGCAGTGAAGCTTCCCAGTAAGCCCTGGCATCCATGGCTATAGGTTGAGGCAGGCAGGCTGGAGGCAGGGGAGGCAGACTGTCAGCAGTCTGGTCAAAGCCAGCTGAGGGACAGGGTAGCACTGAGTTGGACACCCCAGTAGGAGGTACAGGGTGGGCTTCCAGTTTGACTTCCCCTTCATCTTGCATAGCTTCTCTGCCAGTATCTCTGCTACTCACTATCTGTCCTCTATCCCACTGCACCACCTCTGTAGGCTGCTTACAATTTACAATTTCACTGTAGCAGAAAGGTCTTTTGGATGAGGAGGCAGGACCTCAAAGTTCTGGCAACCATTTTTCCCTGATCCAAGCTTGACCGGGCTCTGAGTTTTCCAGTTCATGCATGCCAAAACTCTTCTTTTCCCAAGTCCAGCCTTCAAACCTACGCCATTATCTTCCAGCCACATGGTCACCCTAGACTCCACAGATCCAAGCCACGAGCATCACTCACGCATGTTGTCTGACTCCACTCCTGTATCTGAGGATGTGTTCAGAGCTCCAATGGTTTTTCGAAGAAGCCTGGCAAGCATGGAGTCTCCCTCAACCTTCACTTCCAGTTTGTGACTGCCTGATCAGAGCGGAGAGAGGGTTTCTAGTAAGAGATGGAATTAGCCAGGCATGGTGGGGCATGTCTGTAACCCCAGCACTTGCGGAGACAGAGGCAGGTGGATCTCTGTGAGTTCAAGGCCAGCCTGGTCTACAAAGGACAGCCAAGGCTACACAGAGAAACCCGTCTCTAAAAACAAAACAAAACAAAAACAAACAAACAACAACGAAAAAGAGCTGGCGTTAAGGGGATGAGGGTTGACTTGGAGAAAAGAAGGAGGAGGAGACATGTGCAGGAGGGGCTGTCCCTGGGCTCACTGCGGAAGGAGTACTGCAGGAAGGAGTGCTGGCGGATGGCGTCAAAGATGGAGTAGAGTGCCCAGTCCAGCCCGCACAGCACCAGGAGCAGGAGCAGGAGGGGCAGCGTCTCCACGAGCTCCCTCACCTGTGGGGAACCCAGTAAACAGAGCTGGGTACCCCGCCCTGGCTTGCTGTGTTTTCTGCCCTTTGCCTTTCACCCTCAGAGTCCTACCTACAAGTGTCCCCCATCCCCAAACCTATTCCCTGCTCCAGTCTCACCACATTTCGCATTTCTGAGGCCTGGATAGTGGGCTTGAAAGGGAAGATAACAGATCTCTCTTCTGCCTTGCGGAGTGGCAACAGACTCTGTTTGCCCTTAATAAAAAAAATAAAGAGAGAGACTAGGTACCAGAGGGGTCGTTCAGCAGTTAAGAGTGCTTGCTGTGGGGCTGGAGAGATGGCTCAGAGGCAGCACACTGGCTGTTCTTCCAAAGGTCCTGAGTTCAATTCCCAGCAACCACATGGTAGCTCACAACCATTTGGTGCCCTCTTCTGGCATGCAGGCACAGAATACTGTGTAAAAAATAAATAAATAAATAAATAAATAAATAAATAAATAAATAAATAAATCCCATGGTAGCTCAGTATCCAAGTGTGTTTCCTAGTAAGGGGAACAGGGACTATTTACGCCATGAACTCAATGGCGAGCTCTTTGACCTCCCTCACTACACTCCCGAAGGGAGGAGCAGCCTTGCTAGGCCACAGAGGAGGACTTTGCAGCCAGTGCTGAAGATACCTGATAAAACAGCGTCAGATGAAAGGGGAGGAGGTCCTCCCCTATCAGTGGACTTGGAAAGAGGCAGGGAAGAGATGAGGGAAGGGAGGGTGGGATTGGGGAGGGAATGAGGGAGCCGATACAGCGGGAATACAAAGTTAATAAAATGTAACTAATATTAAATAAATAAATAAATCTTTTTAAAAAAGTGCTTGCTACTATTTCAAAAGCCCAGTCCAGTTCTCCACACCCACATCAGTGGCTCACAACTGCCTGCACCCACTGCTGGTCTCTGAGGGCACTATGGACATGCACATGCAGATGCACATACAGACGAGCAGGCACATACACATAAAAAGTTCCCATAGTAAAAACCCTAAGGGCCTTCACTCTCCTGGAGTATGGATCCCAGGGCACAGAGAGCACCCTCCAGCATGGCCGAGCTCCCTCACCAGCTTCTTCCTTCGTGCATCAATCTGATAGAAGTATGTGCTGATGTAGATGTTGTCAAAACGGATGTCCCCATTGTAGCTCTCCATGTAGGAGAAGGATCTGTGGAGGGTTAGATAGGGCTGTCTCCCTCAGTGTGTCTCCCTCCTCTGCACACCAAACCATGGGCTCCTTTTAGACGTAGTTACTTATCAGATCACCTGGCATTCCCTGAGCGTCCCTGGTAATGAAGAAAGCAGGCTCCACCCTGCCTTGTAGTTATGCACCCATGTGACTGCTGAGACCCAGCAGAGGAGAGCGTGTGGACAGTCTGGGTTAGAGGCAGGCATTTATCTTGCAAGGTGAATGATGTGAATGCCCAGAGTCAGAAAACCCTCCAGACTGCAGGAGTCACCGGACTCCTGCATATATAGGAGTCACTATGACTCCTATATCCACTTTCATTTATTTGTTTGTTTGTTTCTGAGACAAGGTCTCACAATGTAGTCCTAAAGGTGTTCTCCACTATGCCTCCTCTCCAGCTCTGCCTGCTGCACACTTCAAACAAAACCCAGACGCAGACATACATCTCTTGCCCATCCTGACTTCCCTTGAGCTGTGTGTGTGGAGAAATATGTGTACACATGAGGGTTTTTCTATGCAGCTCCTGAAGTCCCATGTAATGCTTGTTTCTTAAGGAAAAGTTCTAATTGTGAAAACATGTTAAAATTACAAAAACATATTAACTGTAAAATGTGAAACATAAATCCCCTTTTAAAGAACAATGGGGGAGGTCTTCAAAAATGCAAAGATGGACTGGCGCGCCCCCTTGTGGAGAAACCTACCACTACAGTATATTGGGTTTCTTGGGCTGAGGACAACCCTTCCCCCCAGCTCTGTCCTGTTTCTGAGTGATGTCACCCAGGTTGAAAGCCTGGCAGTGACTTTAGACTCTCCCTTCCCTCCCCAAGCTTGGCTTTAAGAACTGCTGTGCCTTTCCACTTCCTTCCATTTTGGGCCATCTTCCTGCCCTGCCTCACTGTCCTGGCTCTCTAACCTCTGACCTAGCCTGGCTCTGCCCTGTGTTCGCCTTTCCCCTCCATGCTTCCCACCCTCATCCATCTTGTGGCCACCTTCCTATTCAGGGCCTTCTGGTAGGGCTTTCCAGATGGTTCTAGCCAAGCTATCCTCAGCTCCACCCTCCACCCCAGCCCCTGTTCAGTAAGGTGAAGATGCCAAGGTCCTTGCTCAAAACACTGCCCTTCCTTCCCTTGACCACAAAACGCACCTGCAGCCTTCTGGAGCTCATACACGCTCTCCCCCCTCTGTGGAACCTTTTTAGCTCCCACACCTGTCCCCATAGCCAGTCCACAGATTTGCCCTTGTGCTTCATGGCTGTCTTTTTCACCACCTCAACTAGACCAGGAGTGTCTCCAGGGTAGCAATATGGCTTGTTCACCTTTGTCCTTCCATAGGGCCCTGGGTACCCATGTAATCATTCATCTGGGGCCACTCTAGCCTGAAGAACAGGGACAGACAGTAGGGGTTCCTATGACTGCCTTCCGTCCAGCTCCTGCCCAGCCCAGATACTTGAGGGTGGAGAAAAGGAGGAGAAGGTCTAGAAGTCAGCGGGAGAGCTGGAGCAAACCAAGGGCCAGAGCAGCCCAGGAGGACACTGGGCTGAGTAGGTTGAGGACTTTGTTCTAAATGGAAGAAAAGAAGCTGCCAACACAGCAGGCAGGAGAGAATGAAAGCAAAACTGGATGATAAAAATGGCACAAAGTCAGAGCCAAGGGGAATGTGAAGGGCAAGGGGAAAAAAAGTCTACAGACAAAGCTAAATATGTTTTGGGGAAAGCCAGTGTTAGGATAGGTGCCGGAAGGAGCTGGATGAATGAAGATAGTTGCTTTTTTAAGACACGGGTAATTTCTCCCCTTACAGAATGTCCACATGTCCATTAACTGTGAAAACAGGCAGATCAGAGTCAGATTCTGAATTGGGGTGCTGGCTCTGTGCCCCCTATAGCAGGGCTTCCATCCAGGGTGGAGAAAGGGGCAACAGGTAAAGCTTGTGACTCACGCGTGGAAGAGCAGCAGGAAAGTGCAGGACAGGAGCACATGCAGCAGCCCCGCAGCCCACTGCAGACGGGCCTCTTGCTCTTGGACATAGTCCCGAACCTCCATGCTCATGTGCTCCCAGCTCGTGTTGAGACCCAGCACCGCAGCCTGCTTCTCCTCCTGGGAAGGGAAGGTGTTCACAGCCCGCTGCAGCCTTGCCACACCCCATCAGCCTGTTGGAGACACATTTCCACTGACAGTTTACTTAAGCCCCTGGTCCTCCCGCGACCTCCAGGGGCTCTCACCTCACTCCCGTCAGTCTCGGTGGTAGTCTCGCTTGCCTGCATCCACAGGCATCTGTGTCTGGCTATCCATCTCATTCCCAAGCAAGGTACGTACATTACATGGGCTGACATGATGGCCCAGCACTAGGCATCTCCCACCCCTGCTCCACACTCAGGCCTCTTCCCCAGGCTTCACACTTGTCTTTCTTCCTGCCTTCCTTCCTCCCCTCCTGCTCCCTATCTGCTTTTCTCCTTCTCCCATACCTCTGCCTCCTACCTTAATGTCAATATTGGCTGAAAATTCTCCATACAGACCATGAATAGACTGGTTGAGTGAGTCATAGGTTTGCCCAAAGTTGCCTTCCACTGGGATGCGTTTGTAGCACCAGATCTGCATTGCTGATGGACAGTAGGCCTAAGTCAGGCCCTCTTCATCCAGGCTGCACCCCAGGCCTCCCTTGAGCCTCTTCATGTAGGAGTTTTTGCCCTTGACTTTCCACAGCACCCACTCCTTCCTACTCTACCAGCCCTGGATCCTCCCACCCAGCAATAAGGCCTGATGCTTCACTCCCATTTTTGCATTTGTCCTTAACCATACCAATATTAATAATGGTATTCAGCATTTCTAGAGCAGTTCCTCTGGGTAACACTTCTGCTAGGACTTGGCATGCATCCTCCTATTAAATCTCAAAATGCATATGGGGATGAGAACTATTATTATATCTGTCTTTCCATTGGAGAGATGGGATGCAAAGCTTAGCTGAAATTCATCTTCACCACAGAGCAGTCAGTAGGAAATGGACTCGTGGACCCAAGGAGCTCTCACCCTCTACTCCTGCCTCCACTCCTGCCTTATACATATTGTGGTCCCCAGGGATTCATCTCCCTTAACCCGGGGACCTCCCTCACGCCATCCTGCCACTAACCCTTGGCAATGCTACAGAAGAACTTGAACTTCATTGGCAGGCAGAGCAGGTGGTTAAGGAGTGGGACCCAGATGTGTTGCATGCACTCTTGATGCTTTTTTTCAAACCAGTGATGGCAGCTGATTATGGCCTTATTTACTACATCTGTAGCAAAGAGGTAGCGGTATCTGGGGTCCCCATGCCCTGCCTGGAGACAGGCCCCGAATCTGCCCACCCTGCCCTGCTCAGGAACACTCCTCACAAGAGCAGCGCAGCTTGGTCTTGAGCTCATACAGCTTCTGTGTGGACATGTGGCGTCTGCCTTGGGGGGTTCCATGGATCTCTGTGCCTGAGGCTGTGCCTATGACATCGTAGCCAATATCACTCTTCACCTGGGCATCCAGGTCCTCAAAGGAGGTAGAGATGTTCCAAATCTCCACTTTCAGTGAGTCTTTGCCGCCCTGGGGTTGGAAAGGTGGGGAGCGGCAGGGTGTGGGGAGAGGGTGCAGCACACAGACCGCTGCTTCCCATCTGCCTCTAGCAAGGCTCCCTTGGGCTCTCCCCAGGCCTAGAGGGGTCTAGGTCTAAGAAAAGGCCTCCCTCCAGCTCCTCACAGCTCACATGCTTGATATCCTGGCTGCACCCTGACACTCTGCCTTACTCCTCAGACCCTCAGCTTTCCCTTACTGCTCAGTAGTTCCCATAATTTTGAATGCTTGCCTTTCAGTTCCAACCTCACCCCCCCCCAAAGCCTCCGCTCTCCCAGTCCTCACCTCTGCAACATTCCCAACCCCCTAGCCAAATAGTCCATTCTCTAATCCTCTGGTCTTCAAAGGGCCTATGTCCTCAGTTTCCCAACATTCCAGTCCAACTGCCAAGGTAGAGTGCTGCCCATGCATGTATCTGGAGATGTGGAGGTCTGTCTGTCCCAATGGTAAAATGTCCTTGTGGCTTTTAACACCCCAGAATCGGGAAGGGCTCTGCAATGTTTGGGGACAGTGGTACAAAATATACTAGGAGTGTTCCCACAAGGGGACCATGTTCCCAGAACAAGCCAACTCGGTCCTGGGGAGAGGGACTGCACAGGGTCCTGACCAGCAGGTCCTTGAACACTGCCCGCAGAGGGGCTGTGGAGACACGCCAGGCCGCTCGGGTGTTGTTGATTTGCAGTTCCACAGTGCAGCCCAGGGATGCTATCACTTCATTGAGGTTGTACTGCAGATTGGATGCTGGCCCTAGCAGAAGAGCCCCGGGTCACTTCCCTGCAGGGTTAGTCCCTTAGGGCCACCCCTAGCACCTTTTCTGCATTCAGACCACCTTCTAGACCATAGGGCATCTTCAAGGATTGTGTAATGGTGGGCTTGAGCAAGTCTATGAGCGATCCTGGCCAAGCCTTGTCTTTTCAGCTCCATAATCTCAAGAGGCCAAGAGATGGAAAGGCACTCTCAGGGACATGCAGCAAACTGGAACAGACATGATCCCACCCCCATACACATACACACATCCTTTCTTCTTTTTCAACAACATGGCCCTTAGTGGAGGGTCTGTCCAGGGCCACTGCTTTAGCATCACCAGCTGCCACTCTGGGACAGCCACACCTCACCTTTGTAGATGGCAGCCAAAGCATATCCCAGGAAAAAGAGTCTGCCTTCTTTGCCCAGCATCTTGGGTACCAAGAGGACACTGGCGCAGCGGATATGAGGAGAGGTTCCCCAGGCAATGGCCCCCAAGCCTGTTGGGAGTAGCAGAAAGTGCGGGATGAAGTAAGAAAGCAACATCACATGCCATTTATTGGGCCTCCACCTGCTCCAGCCTTCTCTCAGATCTACCCTGCCCTCATCTTCATTTACACTGCTCTGATAGACTGCTCAGGCCATATTCCACCCTTCCTTCCTGCCTTCATTCAGCTAACAGCCATTTATAGGGTGAAGCTGTGTATCTGTCTCTGCAAGGTCCTGGGGAGATGGTTGGGGACAGAAAAGTCATGGTCAAATTTGTGTATGCCAGTGAGTGTGCATATGAGTGTCAGGAGCCCACACTTTCCACATCCAGGCAGAGGCACTTTAGGCAGTGAGGGAGCAGAGCAGGCAAAGGAGATGTTGAGGAAATGGGCAGCAATGCACAAGGCAGTCAGAGCCCACCTGGACACTCCCTGGGCTCTGCTGCCCACAGCACTCAAGCCTCCACCCTTCCTGTGTGATAGCCCTTAATCATGTGTGGCTGGTAGGTTACAGCAGCTGCAAATGCGGTCTCTTCGAGGAGACAGTGAGCTCCCTGAAGCTCATAATCCAGAGAGAAAGACAGACAAGTAAACAAATGACTACCATGGGACAGACGTGCTCAGTGCAGCAGGGAGGGGCTTATGGAGAGAGCTTTGGAGCCAAGGAGGGTGTGGGTATTTCTGCAGGGAGGGGTGGGGCTGGGAAGGCTGGACAAAGGAGATGATGTGTCAGCTGGGCCTGGGAGATGAGTAACTGTTGTTAGGAGACACAGATGGCAGCCCAGGACAAGGGAACAGCATGAGCTAGTCAGGGAACAAGAAGATCCCCATGTAGATGAAGTCTTTGCTCAGTGATGGCCAAAGCAAACCCCAAATACTGATACTCCCACCATGTCCGCTGTCCTCCCACAGTCCCCGTCATCACTCACTGGGACTCGAGTCCACTGTTGTTGCAGTGCTAACACTCAACCCTTCACACAGGCTCGGCCTGTGTGTGCACCAGGTGCACACCTAACCCACAGAGGCCAGAAAGGGGGTTGCATCTCTAGAACTAGAGCTTTATTTGTGAACTGCTCTATGTGGGTGCTGGGACTAGAACCCAGATCCTCTTTGCGGCCCCATAGAGCCGGGCCTTTCTAACTAGTCTTTATATTTCTTTCTCATTACCTTCCATGATCTTATAAAAGCATAACTCAGATCCTGTCTTCCTACTCCACTTGGTAGATAGATTCCAAACCATTTGACATGCTTCATAGGCCCTCCCACCTTCTGCAGTGGTCCCATGCCAATGAATCTTTGACCCATAAGTCCAGGGGGCTCTGGATGATATCCATTTCTCACCAGGTCTTCAAGTTGTTGCCCTGTGCCCTGCTGGTAGCACTCCTCCCCCATGGCTTCACCTAGACATACAGGTTTTTGGCAAACCCTGGATGCCACCCAGCAGTGATTTTTTTTTTTTAAATATTCTGCCTTCTCACTTGTTAACACAACTTGGATTTTGTTCAAGGACAATAGCCTGGTTCTGCCCTGGCCCCTGGGGGTTGAATCTGGGTTTGCCCAAACCCCATATGTGCATTACAGAGCAATGAGAGAGACTTGTTCTGTGGTCTCGGCCTTCTAGCTGAAGACTCCAGCTAGACAACAGCTGACAGATTACTGCTTTATGTCCCACCAGCCACTTTAGCCTCACACAGAGGGTACGCTCAGCCTTTCACTTCTCTACCCAGCCAGTTTATAGAAGGAGAGAGAGCTGGGTTGTTACACTCACCAACAGTAGGTAAATAATTTAAATAGAGAGATCTGAGTCTGGTGTCACATACCTATCACCTCAGCTGCTCACGAGGTTGAGGCAGGAGGATAGGAAAGTGTAAGGCCTACCTGATCTACAGAGCATGGTCATAGTCAGCCTGATCAACTCCATGAGTCTCTGTCTCAAAAAGAAAGATGGACTGGGGCTGTAGCCGAGTTATTAGAATGCTTGCCTCACATGAATCATGCCCTGGCTCTGATTCCCAGCACCAAAAACAAAACAAAAACTAGTTGTCATGGTGGTGCATGCCTTTAAATCCTAGCATTAAGAGGTGGACACAGAAGACTCAAAAGTTCAAGGCCATCCTTAGCTACATATCAAGTTTGAGGCAAGTCTGGGATATATGATACTCTGCCCCCCCCCCAAAAAAAAAAGAAAAAAAAGAAAGGAAGGAAGAGAACGAAACAAATAAACAAAAAGGAGAACTGAGTTTGTTGGTACATGCCTTTAACACCAGAACTTGGGAAGCAGGTAAATCTCTGTGTGTTCAAGGTCACCCTGGTCTACATCGCTAGTTCCAGGACGACCAGGGCCACAAGAGCAATCAGCCTGTCAATATAAATAAGCCAGAAATGTGAATGTTCTGGAAGTGTCAGTAGGCACAGGAGGAAAGTCTGAGCCGAGGACATCATGGGTCAGGTCAAAACCCTTTAGGGACTGTCACAGGAAAGACCCTGCCTTGTCCCTCGTGGGCCAGCTTCCTGCAGAACTGCAGCAGCTGGCCAGGCTGCTCCAGCTCTGTCCTCTGTAGATCCCAGAGTGTGGAGCTTCTCTCTGGTGGAGAGGGCTGCCTAAAGGCAGCAGGCCTGGCACTCTTCACCCACAAGGGCAGCCTGCTGGGGGTTGGGGTGGGTGCAGATCTCAAAGGAAGAGCCTGTGGTGGGCTCACGAAGCTAACTAAGCAGGCTCTGCCTGAGTCCCGCCAAAAGAACTTGTCAAAGCTCAGACCACTAGGCACTGCCGGAGTCCATGAATGAGCCGCTGCAGAGAGGGCACTGGTGAAGAATTATAAAAGCATTGGTGACTTAAGGCTTTGACTCCCTCCCCATTATAAAAAGAAAGGTTTTGTCCCTTTTCCTCTAATTCTTCCTTTCTGCTTTCTGACATCTGAAGAAACACAGAGGAAGCCAGGAATGATGAGACACACTGGTGTCAACAGGGTATTAGGAGTTCAAGCCTAGGCTATCTGAGATCTTGTCTAGGTGGGGGAGGGTGCAGGGTGGAGGAGTGGGAGCTGGGGGAGGGGCCTGAGGGATAGTGTCGCTATTGACAGATTTCCCTTGCTCCAGTAAATAACTTCCTATCCAATAGCTCAAGCAATTCTAGTTAAATGCAGTAGGTCACATACAAAAGAAAACCATGAAAGGAGGGGGAAGACTTACTGGAAAGAAAGGCTTGGGGGGCAGGGAGAGAGGGTTTAAAATGCAAACATGGTAGAACAAGCCCTTAATTTCAGCACGCAGAGAGAGGGATAGGGATCTGAGAGACAGGGTCTCCGAAGGAAAAAAAAGAGAGAAAGAGACTAAAATTCACTATATGCATACATGAAACTATGAGAGAATGCAAACAAAGCTGCAATAGAAAGGGAAGGCAGAGGAGAAACAAGAGGAGGAGAAGCTGAATCTCTTTCTCACGGCAGGATATAGGGGTAAGGGCAGACTGAGGTGTGGCAGGCTGCAGCAGCAAGGAGAGGTGACATGTAAGAAGCCTGGAAGCCTGAAGTCCTGATGTGAGGTAGACAGAACCCTTTACCCCTCAAAATAAGTCCTAACTAGTCAGCGCCCAGGGGCTTCTCCATGTCTGAGTGAAAAGTGGTCTGCAGAACATGGGTGCAGTAGTCACACAGGAACAGTCTATGTAGTCTTGGCCTTATGACCAAAACTCTATGTGTTCAATAAAATAGTGACATGAATTAAAACGCCCCAGGTTGGGACAGATTGGGAAAAAGCATCAGCTACTGTTAAAAAAAAAAAAAAAAAAAAAAAAAGATGTGAAATGCCTGCTGGCAAGTTTTCCTGGTTCCTGAAGGGGGTCAGGGGAAAAGGTGTTTCTTCCTGGTGTCTGAAATGAATGCATGGAGACGTGATGTCTGGCCTCTTGCAAGCAAAAACCACCTAGTGAGCAAGGTGGTGCTCACCTTTGGTCCCATCGCTAGGAGACAGAGGCAGGCAGGCAGGGCTCTGGGAGTTTGAGGCCAGCCTGATCGACAAAGTGAGTCCAGGACAGCCAGAGCTACACAGAGAAACCCTGTCTCGAAAAACCAAAAGAAAGAAAGAAAGAGAGAGAGAAAAAAAAAAAAAAGAAAGACTTTTCTTTCTTTAAAACTTAAAAAAAAAAAAAAAAATCCAAAATCTCTAGCCAAAGAGAATGAAAAGACTGAAGAACTCTTATTGGTGTTTTATTTTGTTTGAAATAAAGCCTTTAAAAAAAAAGTCTTTAAAAAAATAGGAAGCTGAGTGGTAGTGGTGTACACCTTTAGTCCCAGCACTAGCAGGGTAGACCCTAGCAGATCTCTGAGTTCAAGGCCAGCCTTGGTCCACCAAGTGAGTCCCAGGTCAGCCAAGGTTACAACAGAGAAACACTGTCTTGCAAGCCACCATGTGTTTGGTGGGAATTGAACTCAGGATCTCCAGAAGAGCAGACAGTGCTCTTAACCTCTGAACCATCTCTCCAGCCCTCAACCTGTCATGCAAAATGCAACAAACAACAAAAATTAGACATATTTATTTTGTTGCATATATATGAGTATTTTGCTTGCATGTTCCCCATGTGTGGCGTTAGTGCCTACGGAGGTCGGAAGAACATGTCAGACGCCATGCAACTGAGTTTCAGGTGTTTGTAAATTTTCCATGTAGGTGCTGGGAACTGAACCCAGGTGCTCTGCAAGAGCAACAAGTGCTCTTAACTCCTGAGCCATCCCTCCAGCCCTTTGAGATAAGTCTTAATATATAGTCCAGGTTAGTTTCAAATGTACAGTGTTCCTGCCTCAGCCTCCCGACTGCTGGGTTATAAGTACTTGCCACCGCTGACAACTCTAGAGCTGTGAGAGGGCACTGAGTGGAGCAGCTGGAATTCTCAAGCCCCGACACCACTGTTTGTGTTTTCTTTATCTCTTTTGGTCTGGTGTGTTTATGGGTTTTTTTGAGACGAGGTCTTACAGTCCAGGCGGTCCTGGAACCCTAGGCTGTGTGATTGCCGGCATAAACCACCATAGTCCTTTCATGAACTTTTTCTGTGGGATGATAAGCTTTCTCTGAGGTTTACCCACTTTTACACTGCCCTTCTCAGCCTTCCTTTTCCTGCAGCCCAATACCTCCCAAAACAAATGTCTCAATTCAAAGGTCAGCTCTAGAAGTCTTTCCTGACAGGGTTAGGGTTGACCCCAACCCTTTCCTTCCTCTTCTGCCATCTACTGTGTTTCCTTAGAGTTTCATTGTCTCACACTGGTAGGTTGCGTGGTTTCTAGTTTTTGAAGCAGAACATTACTTGGCAGTCCAGACAGGCCTAGAAATACTCTGTGGGCCAGGCTGATCTTGAATTTGTGGCAATTCTCCTGCCTTAGCCTTATAAGTTCTGGGGTTATGCATGACTTTTTTTTTTTTTTTTTAATTGTAAACTCCAAAAAAATGGCTTGTACTTGTTAACTTTGTTTACTTCTGAATCCTCAGTAGATAAGAAATGAATGAATGAATGAATAAATGAATGAATGAATGAACTGGGTTACTCAAGAAAAATAGGAAGTGTGCCACAGGGGTCAACAGAACAGGTTAAAAAGGTGTAAGTTTGGCCTCTCCTCTGCTCCTGACTTCCTTTTCTACATGTAAAAGGAGGCTGAAGTCATAGACTTGGGGTACAGAAGAAGCAAGGTCAAGGCCCCTGATGCCCAGCTTTACCCACTACTAACTTGCCAAGCCATATAATGCCACCATCTTCTGCTCCTCATAAATGTTCATGGGGTTCACCAGGAGCTGAAAGAGACCTGAAGGAACAGTGTGAAGCCATAAGTCAACTCATAGTTCCAGCCCTGCCCCACCCTACCCTTCTGCTCCCAAACTTGCCTATGGCCAGGAGCCCACCAGTCCCTGCTCCTAGCAGGAAAGCAGTGGCGGGGAACTCCCTCTGCTGGCGCCATTGGAACCGGCTCCAGGAAACTGGAAGACCCCAGTGGAGAAGCCTCTGCACCGCTGAAAGAGGGACAGTTCAGCTCATAGCCTCTTCTTCTGGCTCAATGAGGTTCACTGAGGTTAAAAACACTCCCAGCAATGGGCAGGCAGAATTAGGAAGGCCTCTGTGAGTTCGAGGCCAGCCTGGTCTATCTAGTGACTCCAGGACAGCCAAGGCTACTCAGAGAAAACTTGTCTCAAAAAAAACAAGCCAAAACCCCCACTTTATATTTATTTATGAGTGTGTGTGTGCACCCACCTGAGTTTATTTCTACAGGTGGTCAAAGGGTGTTGAGTCACCTGGAGCTACAGTTACAACTGTGAGCTTCCTGGTGTGCGTGTTGGACTCAGGCTCTCTGGGAGAGCAGTAAGTGCTCTTCACCTGCATGCCAGAGAGGGAATCGGATTTCATCATAGATGGTTGTAAGCTACCATGTGGGTGCTGGGAATTGAACTCAGGACCTCTGGAAGAGCAGCCAGTGCTCTTAACCACTGAGCCATCTCCAAGCTTGGCCAGTCCCAAGCTTGGAGATTTTAAGATGATCAGATGCTGGGAAAGCCTAGTAGCAGGGATGTGGGATGAGGGAGATCCTGAAGAATAGAAGAGATGAGGGATCCTGAAGAATAAGGCAAGACTGGAGGAAAAAAGAGGACTGGGTTATAGGGAGAGCAAAATGGACAAAGGTTGGAGGGCCCCAAAATGGAGGGGAAAGGACAAGAGAAGCCTGAGGGATGCTGAGAAGGGGCAGGAATCTGAGGGTTGTCTCACTGGTGTGGGGTGCTTTCTTCTGCTGCCCTCCCGCTCCATTCTGATGCTGTGTAATGTCCAGGAGCCCATGCCCCAGAACTGCTTTCATCCCAGAAGTCTCTCCAAAGATTCCCAGGCTGTGAAATTCTGATGAGAGAAAAGAGAGGCTGCCTGTATGCTTTGCTTCACGCACAGCCCAAGACTGGCCTGTGTCCTTCAGCTCTGTGAGCCCTCAGAACTGGATAATGGGTTCTGAGACACACCTATGATACAGCCTGGCAGAACCTTAGAACAGAATGAAGAATTCCGGGGTCTATAGAATCTGGAGGCCTCTCCTGGAGACGCACTGGCATTTGGTCCCAGCAGCCATGTCTAAAACTGATATAGAGTGGCCCTCCAGGGAGGAGGGGCACAGCATGGCACGGGCTGTGGTCCGAAGCATGGGTGGCTTTACCCTGGGTTTGTCCTTGGCCACAGCCTATGGGCTCCTGGAGCTTCTGGTGGAGGGACGCAGCCCCTATGGCTGCCTGGTGACCACGGTCACTTTGGCTGCCTTCCTTAGTCTGGGCATGGGGTTCTCACGCCAGGTCCGTGCTACTGTCTTCCTGCTGCTTCCACAGTCCTTCTCCAGTGAGCCTGGCAGTCTGGGGGCAGGACAAAGCAGGGCTGGGGCAGGGAGGAAAGTATTCTAAAACCTCATATGAAGGATTAATGGCTGCCTTGAGGCTGGGGTCCTGGGCTGTGATGAGCTGTTTCCCTAGGGCAGGGCCGGATGCTGCTGTTGGTGGCCGCCTTTGGGCTGGTGCTGCAAGGGCCTTGTGCCAACACCCTGCGCAATTTCACCCGCGCCAGTGAAGCTGTGGCTTGTGGGGCAGAGCTGGCACTGAACCAGACTGCTGAAGTGCTGGAGCAAGCCAGGCAGCCCCTTGTCAGTAAGGTCCACCCAGCCCACCACTGGCTCCTGTGAGCTCTTCTGCCCTTTAGCTTAATCCCTCGCTGTCTGACCCTAAGAGTGGCTGAGCCTGGAAGGCCACTTTCCAGTCCAGCTAAATCCCTTGCCTTCCAGCCTCTTCCTCTACCTGATTATTTTCACACCCCAGCACCTAGGCTCCCTAACCGCTCTGATAGCTCCCTCTACTCACCTCCCTCCACCCCACCCCACCCCCAGGAAATGGTGAGAATCAGCTCCTGGAAGAAGAGGCCCACCGCAATGTTGCCCTTTGTCCCTCAGGTGCTCTGACCAAGATTAAAGCTATTGCCCAAAGGGCCAAAGTGGTGGCTGACCGGGTACGCAGGTTCTTCCGGTCCATCATGGATGGTGTGAAGCATGTAGGTAAGTGTGTTGGATGTCTGGTTTGGGAGGTCAAAATACCGCCATCATCTTATCCAACTGCTTCTCCAGGCCTGCTCAGCTCTCCCCTCACACAGCACATCTAATCACCATTGACAAATGTTGGGTTGGTTGGTGTTACCCAACCCACTGAGAAAGGCTGGTGGACTCCTACCCAGAGCACTGACTGCACAGCTGTTCCCAGCCAGGTCCCTTCGGAATGTGTGGTTTTGGTTCCTTCACATCGGTGACGTGTGCAACTCAGAGCTGGGAAACCCATACATAAAATGCGCTCGGGTGTTTGATGATGCCAAGGACAACTGTATGAAGGTCGTGCCCCACGCCCATCACCTGTGCTACGTGCTCATGCCCTTTAAACTGGTGCTCTGTGGACTTGCCAGCTGTGAGAAAGTCAGGGGCTCCTTGCAGGGGGGCATAGACGTGGGGCTGAAATGGGGTGTGAGAATGCAGGATCTGTCAGAAGGGTGGGCGGTGCAGAGTGTGGAGTTCACACAAGGGGCACTGAGTGTGGAGTTCATAAGGTTGCTGGAGTCAGTGAGGGGAAGGTGGACAAGAAAAGACTGATGCTAGGAGAACACAATGGGTAAGGTAGAGAGAGGAAGGTCCTGGAGGTGGGTGGGCAGGCTACATCTCTGCTCCTCCTGATTCTCAGTGGTCCAGATGTTCTGTGTCATCCCCACCTACATCCAAGTCTTCCTGCGAAAGACCATCAGCATCCGTGAGTGACTCCGTTAGGCCCCTGCCAGTGCTTTCTATCTATCCACTATCCTCACCTTACCATGCCCACCGGCAGCTGAAGTCTCCTGGTCCATATGTGAGAATGCAAGAGCAGGAAAGGACTTTGCAGGGTCACCCAGACTAATGTCTAAGTTGAGCTTATTGAGAAACTGAGGCCGAGTGAACGTGGGAGGTGCCTCACACAAGACTTCAGAACAGAATCTGTGAGGACCAGGGCCTCCTGCCCAAGCATACGTAGGTCATGCACACTGGGAGAAACAGGGCCTCCCACCAGAGTCATGGCTCACTCGTGATGGAGCATAAGCCCTAGGCGATGTCTAACATTGTGTGTCAGACTCTTTGCTAGTCTAGGTCTGGGGCCTGGACCAGCTCTAGCTGATTTGTGAGTCCTGCAACTTCTGGGCCAGCACAGCCCCCCACCCCATGGCAGCTCTGCCCTCCTAACTATCCTGGTTCATGTCTCCTCTGACCCTGCTGGTCCCAGCCGTGATACAGCTGCTTGACCGGGTGCGCCGTGAGTTTGAATTCAACATGACAGCCACCCACTACTTCTCTGTGGACCTCAATGCCTCTCGGAGCCTGTCCCAGGTGGCTTTGGACCTTCAGGAGGCCGTCAGCATGAAGCTGCACAGGGCCAGGGAGGTCCTGGCCCTGATGGGCTACACCACGCCTCTGCTCTTTGCGCTTCTCTACCTCCAGTGAGGGGCTCCTGGGGCCTGAGGGAGAGACGGGCTCTGGGGCTGTCCATCCATGGCATCCTGGGGGAGAGGGTGGCAGGGCAGCATTGTTTGGGGTACCTGGAGGTCTGGTAAAGAGAGCCGAGGAATCTCATATGCGCTTCTCCTCAGAGCCGTGTGGTACCGGTACTGTTACCTGAATTGGGACAATTTTGACAACATCTATATCACCAGCCGCTTCCTGCAGATGGAGGCGGTGCGCTCTGTGGCAGGGATGCCTACAGTGCTGCCACTCAGTTCTCATGAGGCCAGACACTACATCCAGCCAGGTGAGGGTGCTAAGGCTAGAAAGGAAGGGCTTCGGGGTAGCCCAGGCCTTCCTCGGCCCCATGTCTCTGAGCATTTTGCAGCATAGGAGGCCAGAGGGAGGAAAGATGACTTCAGGCTGACACAGGAAACAATATGGAGCAATGAATAAGGTTGGGAAGGCTTTCTGTGGTGAAGGCAGGAGGAGTGGCCATGCTAATATGGAAAGGAAGACTGCCTGAGAGGGAGGAGTAAAAGCCTCCCTCGGGACAATATACTGATGGGCAGAGGGGTTCCAGTACAGGCTGCTGGTCCCAGGGAAAGCTGCAAGGCTTTTCATATGACCATGAAGGCCCTACCCCTAAAAAGCGATCCCCACTTTTGCTGGTCCTCACAGTCTCTTTCCTTTTTGTCTTCTGGGTAAGCAATTAAGTTGAACTTGATGAGAGCAGGCACCTCCCTAAGAGCTGGGACTGTGGGCAGGAGAATTGAGGAGCACACTCCTGACTGACCACTTGCTCCTTCAGGCTCCATTTTTCTGTCCCGATGGGAGCAGATTTTTTGTATATTGGAGACCTTTGACTTTGCCCGCCATCTTCTCCTCATGCTACTCCTGGTCTTTCTGGACTATGCTGTCTTCTGGGTACTTGACCTGGCCCGGCACCACCTCCAGGGAGAGATTATAGCTCGCAGTGAGTGCCCACCCTCCCTCTGTGCCCGCTCACCCCATACGTCCTCCTCTCTGGGGCCTTCTCCTAGGGAACTCTGTACAGCTTCCTGTCACTGCCATCACTCCTCCAGCCTCTGCCTCCTATCTGGGTCAAGAATATAGCATAAAGGCATAGGCTTTGAACCTGGCTTGGGTTCAAATCCCAGCCCTGTCCTTTATCAGGAGGTGATTTTGAGTAAGTTGCTTGGGAGCTGGGGACAAAGCCTCATGCACAGTGCCCCAGGTTCAACTCCCAGCACACACCCACACACAAAGGACAAATTGTTTAACATCTCAGAGCTCATCTGAACAATAGAGCAATGGCTGCTCTCTGGGTCACAGTAGGAAGTGAGACTATTTTTGTTTAGCACCTTCTTGACCCAAGATTAAGACCGTGTCACAAGGAATATATTTAACCCAAATTTGTGTATCAGAACACAAAGAACAAAAGAAAGAAAAAATCCAAAGACAAGATGCCACGAAGGCTTGACTTGCGTTCAATCCTCAAAACCCTTGAAAATGTGGAAGGAGAGAACTGAATCCACAAAGTGGTCGTCTAACCTCCACACATGGGCTGTGGCACACATGCCCCCCAGCCATACACACACATACATGCACAAACACACACACACTCAAATACACACTAATAATAAATGAATAAATAAAGGGAAAAACAAACAATTGAAACTCAGTACAAACAGTAAAGCACAACAATAAGCCTGGGTCCGTCCCTGTAATCTCTGCATTTGGAAGGCGGAGGCAGCAGGCTTGAGTGACCAGGCTATACAGTGATACCCTTTCTCTAAAAACAGAGGAAAAAGAAGTCGGCTTTCAGCCAATAGTTCACCGTTTCTGGATGGTTATGAAGATTATGGCAGTGCCAGCCGAGTGGGCTGTGGTGTTAGGACAGAGGCTGGACCTCCAGGCACCTTATGGGGCACCTGAGCAGAGATGAGGGGTCAGAAATGGGGTGTGGGGGTCATGTTTGCGATCTGCCTGGCTCTAGTTTCCAGCCTGCGAAAGGTGGCAGAGACTGGGCCATTCCCTCACAGTGTCTTTGTGCCAGGCCCTGTGCTGGTGTCTATAAAGGTGGAAGGGACGGGCTACTCAGGGAATATTTACCGTGACCTGGTGTCAGCTTTCGACATTCTGCAACAAGGCAACATCAGTATATTGTCCCGACGCTGCCTCCTGCATCCCTCAGAACCAGATGCCAACAGTTCCATCGCTATTGGTACTCACCTGAGAGTGGAGATGGGAGGGGAGCATGTGGAGATGGAGTGTGGCTGGTGCCTCGGGCAGCAGTGGCGCTCATGTGTGCTGTGCTCCCAGGTGTCATGTACGGCCTGTGCTTCTTCCTCACTCTGTTTGGCAGCTATGTCAGCAGGCTGCGGCGTGTCATCTGTGCCTGCTATTACCCCGGCAGGGAACAGGTGAGGGCTGCATGGCTAGTAGCTCTCTGCTATTGCCCTGACACTAACTTGTGGCTGTCTTGGCTTTGAGGGTACTGGAGTCCTTGGCAGCCCCAATCTTTACCCCTCTACTGGAGCCCAGAACAAAGACCTGGCCCTCAGGTTCTCTGGTCCTTAGATGGGATCCAGGAGGAATGATGGCCTTAGAGCCAGGGCTTTCTGAGGTGCATCTTGCCTCCAAGGCTTTGCTAAAACCACAGCGGTTAGGGCAGTGGGACAACTGAGGTGTACTGTGTGACAGTCACTGTGAAGGGGCTCCACGGAGGCAAGACGAAGGAGACAGTCTGGTCAGGCTAACACACAAGCATTTAAAGTAGATTAATTTCTTTTACTTAAAATTTTTTTAATAATATGTATATTCTTTTTTTTTTTTTTTCCTGTGAGTGTATTCCATGTGTTTGTGGGTGGATCTCCTAGAACTGGAGTTACAACCAGTTGTGAGCTGCCTGATGTGGGTGCTGGGAATTGAACTGGGGTCTTCTAGAAGAGTAATACACACTGTTAACTGATGAGCCATCTCCTGCCCCAGGAAGATAGGCTTTTAATGAAACATTATCACTTAAAAAAAAAATAAAGGTTTTATTAAGGGATTAATAAAGATGGAAAGCAGACATGGAAAGCAGGGGAGAAGTGGTTTACTTCACTTGTGGAGGGCCAGATGGCTGCCTGGAGGAATAGTCATTTGAGTTAAGCCTTGAGAGTCACAGGAGTTAGAAGGAAAAGACAGGCAAGGAGTGGGGGTGGGCATGCCAAGGCCAATGGCCAGCATCATGTGTCCCATGCTGGGCACTACCCTTCCAGGAAAGGATCTCCTACCTCTACAACTTGCTTCTGAGTCACCGAACCAACAGGGTGGCTGTAGTACAACGAGCAGTGACCCGACGGGCAGCTGACCAGGGCCACATGAGTGTCCTCCAGGTGCTAGCCATCCGGTGAGTCTACTGTGCTTCCTGTAGGGATGGGGTGACAATAGACAGAAAAGGAACCAGAGTTCAAAATGAGTGCCTCCCAAGTGACAAAAAGTTTGGTTGCGGAGGGTATTCAACCCATAACTTTCCTGTCCTGGAGGGAGAATTAAGGACAAGAATTTTATTTTCAGAAATGTTTTATTTGCTTTTATTGTATGTATGGATGCTCTGTCTGCATGCACATTGGTGCTCTGTGTGCATGCAGTGCCACAGAGGCCACAAAAAGCCATCGGATCCCTTTGGACTGAAGTTCCAGATGTTACAAACCACTATGTGTGTCCTGAGAATTGAAGCCTGGGTCTCTGAAAGAACAGCAGACTAGCCAATGCTCTTAACTGCTTGGCCCATCTTTCCAGCCCCAGGAGAAGAATTTTTTTTTTTAAATGTGTGTGTGTGTTGCCTACCTGCAAAGTATGTATACCAAGTGCATGCCTGGTGCCTGTAGGCATCAGAAGAAAATACTGGATCCCTGGAACTGGAGGTAAGAATGTCTGTGAGCCATCATTCAGGTGCTGGGAACCAAACCCAGGTCTTCTGCAAGAGCAACAAGTGATTTTAACCACTGACCATCTTTCCATCCCCAAAGATCTAAAGATTCTTGAGAGAGAGAGGAGGGAATGGAAAGAGGAAGAAGAGTGGGGACTGGGCAATGAAACGCCAGTTGCTATAGTCAGAAAAATGGAGGTTGGGGCAAGGTCTCCCTCTCCTTTATCGGTTGGTGCAGGCATGGGAAAGGCAGGCGAGCTGAGCTTGACATCTGTGACTCTTTTTCTAAGGTGCCCTTGCCTAAGTCCGTTGCTCAGCCCTCTTCTGGTGCATCAGCCCTATTGCTTGGGCTGTGGGAAGTCTGAAGATAAAGAGGGCATGGAGAACTTTGTGTCCTGCAGTACTCCAGGCTGCAAAGGTGAGCACCCATGTGCTTAAGGGACTCATGCTTCTTGCACAGACGATCAACCACAGTTCTTCCTTTACAGAATTCTCCTATACCTTTATATGTCCCACCATTACTATGCATCTTCTCATTTACATTGCTCAACTACTATGAATCTTCTCATGTAGCTTAATTGCTATGCATCTTGGTATTTACATAGAGCCTTCAGGTAGCTCCTTTCCCCCAGAATCTTCTCGATTAACTTAGGAGTAAGGGGTGCTACAGCAGTTTCCTGGTGTTCAAACTTGGTAAGGATGGCCCTTCCAGGGCTGGAATAGGGAGGAAGGCCAAAAGCTAGGGATCACAGGGTGTGAGGGGTTAGCTCAAGCCCCCTTTTCTCCTGGCCTCCTCTAGGGCTCTACTGTCCTACCTGTTTTCGTCTCCTGGACAACACCTGTTCTTTGTGTGCATCTCCCCTCTCCAACCAGGGGCACCTGGATCTGGAGCTGTGAGTCTTTTAGGGGTGAGGGAGGCTGCAGTATGTGGGGACAGTGGAAATAATGCCCTTCTTCCAGGATATTTGTGGGGCATTGAGATGGTTGGTTTCTCCAGGGACTCCAGTGACGAGGAGGGTCCTAAGCTATGGCTGGCTGCAGCTCGCAAAAGGCCCCCTGAGCAGGAACAGAAACTTCAACAACAGCTCCAGGAAACACTGGATATGAGCCTCCCCGATAAGTCCGGCTCAGAGTCCAGGTGAGCAGGAGGCAGGTGGGGATGGCACTCGGGGACTGGGAGCATGTTCTGTCACTTCTGCACAGGCTTGCTGACACCCCTCTGCAGGGACTGGAGGCACAGGAGACAGAAGCAAGGAGACTGAGTGTGTTGAGTGCTTGCCCGGCAGCCTGAAGTAGCTTAGTTTACAGTGTGTGTTAGGGGGTGGTGGTGCCAAGATATGAGCCTGGTGCAGAGCTCCTGATAACACTTTCATGGTCTACAGAGCAAGATCCAAGACAGCCAGGCCTACACAGAGAAACCCTATCCCAACCACCTCCCCCTCCAAAAAAAAAAAAAAAAAAACCAACAAAAACCAATAATTTCACAGATCAGGGCACGCAGTGGCACATGACTTCAGTTCCAGCATGTGGGAGGCAGACACAGGCAAATCTCTGTGTGAGTTCAAGGCCAGCTTGGTCTAAAGAGTGACTTTCAGGACAGCCAGGACTACAAGAGAAAGCCTGTTTAGAAAAAAAACAAAACAAAACCACAAACAAAAAACACTTCACAGAAAAGGAGAGAAACTGGCTGTAGTTGGGGGCAGCCTAATGGTTTGTTAGGGAGGGAGATTTGCTAAGGGAGGTGAGGACCTGCTGCTCATGTGAGTTTGGAGAATGTAAAACATTCAGGAGGGTAAATAAACCCTAAGGGTGTGTGTGAGAGAAAGATTTTGTGCTTGGGTGTGGACCACAGTGTTAGAGATAGGGTGGGGAAAGACAGAGGAAGGCTTTCTTGGCCTTTGAAGATCTTAGGTGGTTAAGGGATACATTCACGTTTATCTGTTTTTGTTTCTGTTTTGAGGTAGGGTCTCAATGTGTAGTCCTGGCTTCCCTGGAACTCTGTGTAGACCCGACTGGCCTGAAACTCAGAAATCTACCTGCCTCTACTTCCTCAGGGCTGGGATCAAAGGTGTGCATGATCATTCCTGGCCTTGACCTCAAATGTTTTACAGTCCTTCCTGTTTGAGTGCTGGGATTACAGATTTAGCCACCACATCTACTACTCTCTTTTCCTCACTCCCCCGACCCTTGTTTTTTCCTTTTTATCCTCCTCCTTTGAGGTGCTAGGGGTCTAACCCAGAGCCTTGTACATGCAAGGTGTGGCTTTGTGTGTGTGTGTGTGTGTGTGTGTGTGTGTGTGTGTGTGTGTGATGAAGTCTCACTATGTAACTATGTAGCCCTTGTTTGCCTGGAATTCTACTCTCTATGTAGACCAGGCTGGCCTTGATTTCAGAGAGTGATCCACCTGCTTCAACTGAATGCTGGGATTAAAAATGTTCACTTTTCTCTTGAGGCCATTATCACACATACCTTAAGTTCTTTTTGTTTATTTATTGTTTGTTGAACTAGGATTTTTTTAGGTGTGGTGGGGCTAGAGAGAACTTTGAGGTTAAAAACCTTGCCAGCCAGACAGTGGTGGCCCATGAATTTAATATCAGCACTTGGGAGGCAGAGGCAGGTGGATCTCTGAGTTTCAGGTCAGCCTGATCTACAAAATGAGTTACAGGACAGCCTGGGCTACACAGAGAAACCCTGTCTCAAAAACAAAACAAACAAAAAAGAACACTTGCTGTTCTTTCAGGGGACCAGGTTTAGTCCATCACAAACATGACAGCTAACAGCTGTCTACAATTCCAGTTTCAGGGAATCCAACACTCTCCTCTGGACTTTGTGGCTATCAGACATGTATGCAGTACTCAGACATATAACAAGCAAAACATTCATATATAATATATATGTTAATATATTATATATAATAAATATTTAGGGTAAGAGACGGCTCTGTGATTAAGAACACTTGCTCTTACTCCAAAGGACCTGAGTTCAAATCCCAGAACCCATGTTGGGAGTGGAGGACTCATAAGCACCTGTAACTCCAGCTCCAGGGGACCTGACGTGACTTCTGAACAGGCAGCCAAACACAGTGTAGATAATGACACAGATGGACATACATTTATAGCATGATAAAAAATTTTAAAGTGAGGAAAAAAAAATGGTGATGTAGCACAGGAGAGACTCTATTACTGAGCTACCATATAAGCTCAGGAGGCAGAACAGCTGGGCAGGAGACTGTTTCAGCGGTGGCAGTCTGAAGATGAGGCACTGAGAATCTTGGAGCTACACTTAGATTTAGGGCAGAATGGGAGACAAGACTGGCCCATTTTGAAGCTAGATGTCTGCAGGGGCATCCAGCTAGAGCCATCCGGGGAGCAGGTGCAGACGCCTGGCAGGGCTCTGGACTGGTGGTATCTCTTTAAGGAGTTGCTGACTTAAGAGAAAATCGTCCCCTTCCCTGGCAAGAGAGAGGGGACAGTAGCAGAACCCCAAAGAGCTCAGCTGCAAACCTGAGGCATGAAGCCAAGAGAGCAGGAGAGCCTAGCACATGAAAGGCCTGATTTAAGCAAGCAGGTCAACACTCACTCCATAGCTGAAGGGTCAGATCCCTGGTGTGGCTCGTGGGAACGTTCTTTATGGTACCAGGATGGCTAAAACCAGATCACAAAGTAACTGACAAAGACTCAGAAATGGAGTGTGTGGCTTCTGTATGAGGGACATGGTTTAGGATCCTTTTGTGATAAAAAAAAAAAAAAAAATGGAGGGCCTTTGAGACTGAGTCTCACTATATGCCCCTGGCTGGTCTGGCATTTGGTATGTAGACCAGGCTGGCCTTCAATTCATACAGATCTGCCTGCCTCTGCCTCCCAAGTGCTGGGATTAAAGGTGTGTCCATCAGGCTTTATTCGTTTACTTTTATAAAGGTCTCAGACCTTGAACTTGTACCCTTCTACCTCAGTCTCCATAGAGTGAAAGGTATGTGCTACCATGCTTGGCTCTAAAAATGGAAGCTTGATCATGAAGAATTTATACAAAAGGGGCACAGCACCAAACGATGTTTCTACATCCTAGCATATTTAGGAAATGGAAAAAAGAACATTGAAGCCTAGGAATGAATCTAGTGGTAGAACACTTGTTTATCACCCAAAACAAGGTCTTGGATTTAATCCCCAGCCCCGAACTAAGGTAGTTTTCAAAGACTGGTTGGTAGAGGCTGAAATGATTGTTGTGTATGGGAGGGGGAGGGCAGAAAGAAGCTGGCCCTAGGAGGCTGAGGGAATTGCAGGCAGAGTTAAGGCCAGAGGTTTTTTTGTGTGTTTTTTTGGCAGGGGGAGGGGATTCTTTGGTGATAAGGTCCTAACATTGTAGGCCAGATTGGTCTGAGATGTGTAGGAATTGCCCTATCCTGGCTTCTGAAAGCTCATTACATGGTTTTCTCTTGTGAATATGGCAGCCAATGAGCCTGAGGGTTTGAAGACTTCTGGGTTGTCGGGAGAGAGGATAGGATGAGAAGAGAATTGGAGGCATCTTCAGTAACTGAAATGATTGCATTTGAAGCTGCTTATACCCTGGCTTGTTTGGGGAGGGGTGTTCAGCTGCTATGTCCTCCTCAAGGCTGAAGGGCACTGGCAAAGCAAGCTTGGTGGTGCACACCTGTAATCCCAGCAAGCTGGAGGCAGAGGCAGGCGATTGCTGAGATCGAGGCCAGCCTGGTCTACAGAGCGAGTTCCAAGACAGGCAGGGCTACACAAAGAAACCCTATCTCAACCAACATACCCCTGCGACCCCCAAAGGGGGAGAGGAAGAGGAGGGCTGCAGCTAAGGCTTGAACAGGGGCGATGGTTGAGTTTACCCCCACTGGTTCTGAGCTTACTTGGCCTTCCTCTCCTCCCAGTGACTAGGACAAAAGAGAAAGAGCCTCAAAGGAAGCATCTTCCAGAAGCTCATTAGTTGGTGGGCCTTTCCAGGGAGCCCCGAACCCCAGGAACCACTTCAGAAATCCACTGCCCCCAAAGGAGCCCCTCCCCAGTCTTAGAACCTGACCCCTCCCACTCAACCCCACAATAAAGGAACCAAAAGCGGACACGAGTATGAATCTTAAATTATTATTATTTCTTCCTGTCACTTACACCCGAGGCAGGGGGCAGGGATAGATGAAGGGGATGGGAGAAGGGGGAAACGCTTTCCCCCCACTAAGGCACTGAGTGGGAAAGCCACAAGTAGAGAGAGTGGAAGCCACATTGTCCCCACTCTCTGGGACTAAGCCCCAGGTTTCTCCAGCCCTGGGCTCCCCTATCACCTGAAATGCTAAGATGAGGCCCAGGGCACCTGACCTCCCTCCTAATATATTACATTATCAATTTTTAAATAGATACAGGGACTGGTCCCGCCACCCCTCCCTGTGTGACCCCTCCCCACTATTGGGGGTACTTGGGCAGTTGTGCAAATGGGCATGGAGGTGCATGGGGAGAGGAGAGCACCGGGCCCTTGAACCTGCCCCTTTAAAGGAGGGGGAAGGGCCACTAGGCCAAAGGGGGTAAATAGTGCAAGGCAGAACCCAGGCCGCCACGGGGGTCCAGCACCCAGTGAGGAAAGGGTAGGGGTGAATATTCTTTCCCTACCCCAGGAGAATTGGTAGTTAAAAATGTGAAATTGGATTTCAACAAGACCATCGTAAGAGGCTATGTACAGAATGGGGTGGACTCAGTCCTAAGAGTGACAGGCAAGACCAGAGGAAAGGTTCCCTTTCCCCGAGGTCTGCCCGCAGCTCACTTTTCCCAGGGGCAAGTGAGTGCCTAGCCACCTTGTTGGCAAGGGGATACCCGCTCTCAGGCGAAGATGGCTGGGTGCAAGGCTAGCTCACTGAAAGTGGTTGCTGGGAGGCGCTTGCCTTACAGGGCATAGCCACCAGATGGCGCTGGCCAGCCCGCTCCCCGCAAGGCTACTTCAACCCCTCACCCCATCCCACACCCAGCGCCCGCCAGCCCGGGGGCGGCGTGAGTCAGGGGCATCAAGCAGCAGAGGCGGCTCCGGCTTGCACCTGGGCGGGGAAGGTAGGGAGGAAAAGAGGGTAAAACGCCCGGGCGGCCCGCCTTGCCCTCTGGCCCCAGGGAGGGAGCGCCAGGAACAAGACATTCTCTGCCCCAGG